AAAACCTAAGGCCGTTGAACAAAGCTCAAACCAGGCTTACCCTTTGATGTTCGGTGAAATTGATATGGACGACTACGATGAGGATGGAAACCTCGTGACAGCTGCCACACATGGTGGATACGTGAACCCTTTCAAAAACCGATGGGAATCACAGAATTTCCGGGTGTTGGAAGAACAAAAGAGAGAAGGGAAAAAACGCAAAGCCAAACAGCTTGTGGAGACCGAGGACTTCATCCCACTAACGAACGACAGCGAGGACGAAGTCGACAAACCGGAGGTGATTCGGCAAAAGGGACGAACGATCCTAAAAGCCAAATCAGCCGGGGCTAGCAGAACAGTGCGGCGTGTCTATGGCTGGGAGTCAAAAATCAACAACGTGAACCAAGAGAAATCATGCCGACGGGGTATCTGAAGTGCGGCGATGCAGCTCATCTATACGACAAATGCCTCGGCGCATCGGCCGAAGACAGAGCCAAAGTCAAGTACAAATGGGCGCTGGTTGCAAAGCGCATGCAGAACGGAAAGACGCTAAAGCCCAAAGCTAAGAAGCTCCGGGACAGTCTTATGACAGCCAACAAAAGGTGGCGGGAAGAACAAGAAAAAAGCCGCGAGGCAAAGACAACGGAGCCTGAGAAAAAGAAACTCCGAAGAATGCTGGAAAGCTCAGACGGCGAAAGCGTGGCCACCATCAACGGGGTGTTGGACGTGCCCTACTGCCCTGACAACGGAAGCGATGTGGGAATTATTTACACCGTCATGGTCAAGACACTGCGCAAGCTGGACGAAACAGTCCAAGCGAAGCAGCTGCCCAAAGCGTGGGTTGGAAGCACAGTGGGGAACCTACCCTTGATAGCGAAAACGACGGTGGAACTGCGAGACACTCTGAGCACAGCCGCCGGCCAAGTCAAGCTGCCTGGAAAACAGCTATTTTACGTGGTCGACGACAATGACGAACTCATTATTAGCAAGTACGCCCTAATGTCGATTGGGTTCGACATGGATCGACTACTCGAGCAAGTGGCCGTGCGACAAACTCACGAAGACGGCGATGACATTGGCGACCTCGGCAAAGCCGAAGACATCGCATTCGGTGTCAGTGTGCGAGGGTTACACGCAAACGACGAACAGCTAGACGTGGAAGACATGCAAGCAGCGGAACAGCTGTACAAGATGGCGATCACATCAGCGAACGCCGTAGACCAAGAAGAGACTGTGGCGTTCAAGCAATTACGAGGAATCGTCGTCGACGCCGCCGCCAAAGGAGTATGGCGAACCAAGTTCAGAGGCACAGACCTCCCGGCGAATGTGAAGGCGATGGAAATACGACTCAAGGCGGATGCACGCCCCAATCGTTGCAAACCTAGAAAGGTGAACCCCTTGACGGGCATGTTTGTCGAAGCGTTTGGCAAACAGCTGGAGCAAGACCAAGTTATTTATGCAAACAACTCAAGCTCCCATTGCAGCCCCGTCAACCCGGTTATGAAACCGGAAGGAAAGAAACTCGTCAAGACAAGCGATAAGTGGACAATCGAAGAACTGTTGCAGTACTTTCGTCTTACGATCGACTACAGAATCATCAATAGCCAAACGATCCCACTTGCTGGCGCCATGCCGTTCCAATTCCTCGTGTTAGAAAACGTCCGCGGCGCCAAGTACCTCGGCGTGTTCGACCTTACGAAAGGTTTCTGGCAGCTACCACTCGAGAAAAACTCACAAGAACTGCTATCCTTTATGCTTGGCTACCGTATCATGACCCCAACGAGGGTTATGCAAGGCCATTGCGACTCGGCGCTATTTTTCCAGAACACCATGGCGGAATGTTTCAAGGACCTACTGTACAAAAACGTCCTAATTTGGATCGACGACATCCTGGTGTGGGCGAACACCATCGACGAGTATGTGAGCGTGCTGCGCGCCGTGTTCGATGTATGCACGAAGTTTCGACTGCGTCTGAACCCACACAAGAGCAAGCTACTGTGGTGCGGCAGAATCATCGACCGCGACGGGGTGCGACAGGATCCCACGAGAATCCAAGCGCTATGCGACATCCCATACCCGACCGATGCAGGTCAGCTGCAGCAATTCATATGCGCAGTGAACTGGATACGCGACAGCCTGATTGGCTTTGCCCAAACCATCGACCTACTCCAAAAACAACTCACAGAAGCGTTGGTTGGAAAGAAAAGAAAAAAAGGATTCCGACATCAATCACAATCGACTTGACCAAAGAAGAACGGAACAGTTTTGACGCAGTCAAAGAACTGATGCGGAACGCCGCTCAATGGTGTCACCCACATGAAGACGCAGCGAATTGCCTATTCACCGACGCCTCCGCCTACGGCTGGTCCATCGTGGTCACTCAAGTCCACGATTACGGCGACGACATCCCAATCCACGACCAACAACATCAACTCCTCGTCTGTCAAAGCGGCATGTTTGACAAAACGCAAGTGAACTGGTCAGTCATCGAAAAAGAAGGCTACCCTATTGCGCGTGCCTGCGACACCCTCAAGTACCTGCTGTTACGACCCAAAGGGTTCCTCATGTACTGTGACCATAAGAACCTCATACGCCCCACGACGAGCGTAAGGCACACACGCGCGAGAAGCTGATCCGCTGGGCCGTCATGATCGGCCAGTACAGATACGTCATCCAGCACATCGACGGAGT